AACAAAGAAAATGTCCTCCAATATATAAACCTTTCCTTAACTTTTACAATAACGGACTAATACAATATTTGTAAATAGACTATTTTTTAGAGCAGTTTTAGTATTATAGAAAAATTGCATGGAAAGTACCCAGCTCCCATATACTTTCTCTTCTCCTATTGTGAGCAGCTTGCATTCTGGTGATACATTTCCTGTAGTTGATGACCCAATATTGTTGAATTATCATTAACTAAAGCCCAGTATATGTTAGAAGTCACTTTTTGTGTTGTATACCAGAAAAGAAAAAAACAAACTCACTGCCATTGAGTTGATTTTGACTCACAGTGACCCACATTGAGTTTCCAATGTGGTAAATTTTTGTGGAAGTAGGTTGCTCCATCTTCCTTCTGCAGAGTGGCTGCTGGGTTTGAACTATCAGCCTTCTGGTTAGTAGGCAAATGCCTTAGTCACTGTGCTACCAGAGCTCCTAATATCATGTGTCCGTGTATCATACAGAATAGTTTCACTGCCCTAAAAGCCCTTGTTCCACCTATTCATCTCCACCCCAGATCTCCTGCCAGCCACTGATCTTCTCATTGTCTTTATGTTCTGCCTTTCCCAGAATATCATATACTTGTTGTTAGGTGCCGCCAAGTTGTCTCCAACTCATAATGACCCTATATACAGCAGAATGAAACACTGCCCAACTCCAACGTCCCATGCCAACTCCACGATCCTTGCTATACTTGAGCTCATTGCCGCAGCCACTGTGTCAATCCATCTTGTTGAGGTCCTTCCCCTCTTTTGTTGACCCTCCACCTTACCAAGCATGACATCCTTCTCCAGGGAATGGTGTCTTTGGACAACATGACCAAAGTAGGTGAGACGGAAGTCTGGCCATTCTCGCTTCCAAGGAGCATTCTGGTTGCACTTCCTCCAGGACAGATTTGTTAGATCTTTTATCAGTCCATGGTACTTTCAGCATTCTTTGCCAGCTCCACAACTCAAAAGCATCAACTCTTCTTTGGTCTTTCTTATTCATTGTCCAGCTCTCAAATGCATATGAAGCGATTGAAAATACCATGGCTTGGGTCAGGCACACCTTAGTCCTCAAGGAGACATCTTTTTCCATCAGCACTTGAAAGAGGTCCCTTGCAGCTGATTTGCCCATTGTCATACATAGTCTGATTTCCTGACTGCTGCTTCCATTGGTATTGATTGTAGAACCAAACAATGTGAAGTCTTTGACAACTTCAATCTTTTCTCCATTTATCGTGATGCTGCTTATTGGTCCAATTGTGAGGAGTTTTGTTTTTTTAATATTGGGATGTAATCCATACTGCAGACTGTATTCTTCATTCTTCATCAGTAAGTGCTTCAAGTCATCCTCACTTTCAGAAAGCAAAGTTGTGTCGTCAGTGTATTGCAGGTTCTTAATGAGTCTTTCTGCAATCCTGATGCCACATTCTTCTACATATAGTCCAGCTTTTTGGATTGTTTGCTTAACATACAGATCGAATAACTATGGGGAAAGAATACAACCCTGACACACTCCCTTCTTGATTTTAAACTATATGGTGTCCTCTTGTTCTGTTCGAATGGCAGCCTCCTGCTCTATGTACAGGTTCCTCATGAGTACAATGAAGTGTTCGGGAATTCTCATTCTTCTCAATGTTACTCACAATTTGTTATGATCTACACAATCAAATGCTTTTGCATAGTCAATAAAACACAAGTAAACATCTTTCTGGTATTCTTTGCTTTGAGCCAAGATCCACCTGACGTCAGCAATGATATCCCTTGTTCCACGTCATGTACTTGGAATTGTACAATATGTAGCTTTTGTGGACTGGCTTCTTTCATTGAAGGTTCCTCCATGTCTTTTTGTGGCTTGAATAATACTCCACTGTATGGCTATGCAATATTTTGTTTATCCGTTTGCCTATTGAAGGACATTTTGGTTGCTTCTAATTTTTCCAATTATTAATAAAGCCTCTCTAAACATTTGTGTGCAGATTTTTATGTGTACATATGTTCTCATCTCATTTGGATAAATACCTAGAAGTGCAATTGCTTGACCAAATAGTAAGCCTGTGTTTCATTCTGTAAGAAACTCAGGCAGTGATTTTTAGACAGCCACTGTTGCCATACTTGGTGCATCTGAAGGGCCATCTCCTTCTAGCTAGGTCTTTTGTATATAAGTTACAAGCACATTATGGCTTTTTTCCCCTCTTTCAGGTCTGATGTTTTGACATGGCTCCCTGCTTCAGTGCTGTTTGTGGGTATAATCTATGCTGGTTCCAGAGCATTGTCCAGACTGGTAAGTGTTAGAGGTTTTGGGGGAAACCTTTACTACTCTTCCCCTTTGCCTTTGAACTGAGTGAGCCTTGGATCAATGGGGTGCCAATTATCAGCTTTAATCATGGTAAAACTAGATTGGAAAATAGGTCTTAGACTCGAGGTCAACTTGGGGACTTTTACTTCCTTGCCCAGGAGCTCTGGTAGTGTAATGGTTAAGGCACTTTGCTAATCAGAAGGTCAGCTGTTGGAACCCACTAGCCAATCTGGTAGAAAGATGAGGCAGTCTGCTTCCATAAAGATTTATAGCCTTGGAAACCCTATGGGGGCAATTCTACTCTGTCCTATAGGGTCAAGAAGCTTGGGCAATCTATTTCCGTAGTGATACTGCCTCAGAAACCCAAGGAGGGGTTGCTATGAGACTGGTCCGACTTGACAGCACGTAACAACAACAACGAGTCAGAATCGTGTTTTGTTTTTGTTTTTTGTCAGATAACAGGGAAGAGCCAACTTGTTTTATAAGATTGAGAAGCAGAAACAGAGATTATCAATATTTATGGAGCTACCATAGACAGGCCATGCCCAGGCTGCTTCCCATGGAGATGGGGAGGGTAAGGCCAGCTTGCTGTTCTCTGAACGTAGGCTGTTCATAGGAGCAGGGCCAGAGTGTTCAGCGGGCTCCTTGCTTCTGAGGAACCATGCCCCATTGGCAGCACGACTTGGTAGTGTTGGCCAGTCATGTGCATAAAGGGTCTGGCAGAGAGTTGACACCCAGTACATGGGAGCTGTTAATAAAACAAGTCGTCTGCTCTGTCATCTCACCCCTTTTCCCCAGGACTCGGCTCCTCTAAGGCAGGAGCTGTGAGGAACAAAGCTGCTTCCAGGTACATCCTGTGAAACTCCAAAAAGCTAGTTATTTTACCATCAGAAGGGAATCTGTTAATACCGTCATTGGCAGAAAGCAGCTCATTATCAGGAGTGGCATTAGTGCTGTCACGCCACCTCTTGATTTTGACTGCCAACTGCTTGTATCTATCAGAAATGGTTTTTGGAAAAATGTACAATTTGCAAAACAAGTTAGTCTTTTATTTGTTATTTTTAAAGTTTATTTGTCATGTTGGTCCCTTAGATATCAGCTTTTAAAACAGTAAAAACAAACAGAACACTCTTAAACTGGAGAACATTATTAATAGGACATCAACCTCAACCTTGCAAAATAGCAGTTGAGAATGCAACTTATAAATTACTCACTGCCGTCAAGTTGATCCCGATTCACAGCGACCCCTCCCTGGGTTTCCAGGGCAATATCTCTACAGAAGTAGATTGCCCAATCTTCCTTCCAAGGAGTGGCTGGTGAGTTTGAACCACCACCCTTCTGGTTAGCAGTCAAATGCCTTAGGCACTATACCACCAGAGCTCCCAATTTATAAATTAAATCATCATTTTTTTTTTTTTTCCACAATTCATAAGCTTGAGTAGATAGGATGATGTATGCAACAGGAAAGAAACGTCCTGGGTGGGCCTAAGGAATGACCCTCAGTACATGTTGGTGTTTAGCCCAGAAAATGAGGCTTCTGGCTGCCTCTTGAGTCTGGCTGGCTCCTGCTAGTCTACAGCCTCACTTTCCACACAGTTTTTTGGCTGCAGAAGGAGCTTCTTCTTCTGTAGTACAGAGTAGAAGATTTGGTGGGAACAATCTGTTGCTTGAAGGCTTTAAAATTTTTTTCTGGTTTCTTGATGGTCATGGATGCCAGACATTAGAAGTTTGAATGAGGAAAGTGTTGTGCAAATCACAATATTTTTGTTTATTTGTTTGCACAGTGCTGTATTGTATATTTCCTTAGTGACGTCCTCCGTATCTTCTGTGAGTCTCACGATCACCTGAGAGGTGGTGGGTGAGGCTGCGTGTTGTTACTCACCTGTCAGAGAAACATAGGTGTGGAAAGTCTCAGTATCCTGCCTCTGGTCCCAGATAGTGGCAACTCTTCTGATTCCTTGTCTTTTGTCTTTTCAGATTTGTCCCTTTAGAACAAATTAATAGGATAATTAAATGCATGTGAATTTTAGAATAGGCCCATGGTATGAGTAACCATTAAAAAAGAAAACAAAAAACTCACTGCCATCGAGTCAGATCTGACTCATAGCAATCCCTCCTTGGGTGTCTGAGGCAGTATCACTATGGAAGTAGATTGCCCAATGTTCCTTCCAAGGAGTGGCTGGTGGGTTTGAACTGCTAGCCCTCTGGTTAGCAGTCAAATGCCTTAGGTACTATACCACCAGACTTCCTTAAGTAACCATGCAGAAGTGTAAAACTTCAGACGTTGCACATGTTTGAAAGCTCACAAACTGGTCTAAGCATAAGGGAAATTTATTAGTTCATGTAACTGAAAAGTTCTAGGGCAGATCCCTGCTTCAGGCATGGCTTGATCCAGAGGCTCCAGTGACATACTTACAATATAGTTTCTCTTTCTCCATGTCTCAGTTCTGCCCTCTCTTTGCTCCACATAGCCAGGTTCTCCCCTCATGGGTGCCATTAACCCCAGACTCACATCCCCACAACATTAAGCCTCATGGAAAGAGGCTGTCTTCCTTTTAGCTCCTGCATGAGTCTAGAATTCACTCTGATTGGATCAGTCTGGGAAACTGCCCATCTCTGATCTGGAAACTAACCATGAGATTGCATTAGCTGATTGGCTAGGCCTGGAACATGATCTCCCTGAACCATTCTCTGTGGTTGGAGAGACTCACTGCGTTGATTGGTCAGCCCTAGTCATATGGGAATCCCACCCAAGTCCCATTGAATGAGAAAGGACATGTTAGGCCTCAGTATTGGTATGCTTTACCAATAAACCTCAGAAGTACATCATAAATGTCCATCTAGTGCATTCCCAGTTGGATGGGGAGTACTATAACCTAGAGCAACCCTCTCAGAGTGTGGTCCACAGTGGTGCCAGTCTGAACTGTTGTTAATCTGTCGATGAGAAGATTACACTAGAATGTACATCAACTCCAGCACTAAACACACTGTTTAGTTGAGCTGACTTTTTTTTTTTTTCCCCCAGCAAGGCTTTTTGAAGAAGGAAGCAATGCATTCTTTACATTCTGATGTAAGCTCCTTATCTATCCAGGACCAGCCATCTGAGTAGCATTGACCTAGAGCAGGCCCTTCTAATAGACAAAAAGAAGCTGTTGACATTCAAACTCTTTGCATGAAGGGAAACAACCAAACACGAGCAGAACAGATTTGGGTAGAAGGAGGATGGGAAGGAGACACTTAATACTGTGTTTAGTAACATAATTTAACCTAGCATCTTTTCTTTGTTTTTTGAATTTTTTGTTTTTGCACAGTTGCTTAAAAATTAATATTGTGAATCAAACATGAGGTAGAAAATAGGCATATTGTGCTGGTGCCAAGCTGCCTGTTTAATGAATCCACAGGAATTGGGGACAGTGTTCAGTGAAAATCAGTGGGTGTATTGTAATGCAGAATACTTCCCAAGTGGCTCCTTTCCCTTGAGTATGCCTTCTTCTCACAAGACCTTGAAGTTCTGTTTTCCAGAGAAGAACTCAGGAGAGGAAGCTGGTTTAATTTTGCAAAGGCTCTTTGAAAAAGTTCTCTATAGATTCTTCTACCTCAAGCTCACAGCTGGATGATACACAGTTAAGGGACAGGAGATTATTCTCGTAGCTGTCCACTCAGCAAATATTTATTAGGGATCTCCTGTGTGCTGGGGGATTAAAGACAAATAGGACACGGTCCTGACCTAAACCAAAAGCCAAACCCACTGCCACTGAGTCGATTCTGACACTTAATGACCCTATAAGACAGAGTAGAACTGCCCCATAGGATTTCCAAGGCGGTAAATCTTTACAGAATCAGACTGCTTCGTCTTTCTCTCATGGAATGGCTGGTGGATTCAAACTGGGCTGGTTAGCAGCCCCATGCTTTAACCACAGCACCACCAGAGCTCGCTAGAGGAGCTAAAGGTTAGGGAGGGGTAAGGAGAGGACACAGTTCACAATAGGAGCAGCCACCATGAATGTTGAGTGCCAAGTATTTGTTGAGCATTTTCTATTGCCAATCCTTGTGACATATGAAATCGGATTTATTAATCCCATTTTACAGATAAAGAAACTGAGATATAGGTTATTTGGCCAAGATCAACAACTAGTAAATTTTAAAGCAGAGATTCAGACCCAGGTCTGCCCAAGGATAACAGCTCATCCCCAAAGCTCACCCACTCTCCTCCTTAAACCATACCAACCACAGGCAATCAGTCCAGTAGAACTGACTGGGGAGAAGAGAAGAGGAAGGGCCTAGCTGCTTTCCCTTCTGTTAGAGTTACTTCTCTTGCTTCCCAGCTTTCTACAATGAATAAGGTCCCAACAACAATGCCTCTGATGGCATAAGGGTCAGTCTTTGGAAGTCCAGTACAGCTTTGATGGGCCATTCTTACTTCTGTTAGACATCATCCTTTCCTGGCCTGAAGCCTTCTCAGCTGGATAGGATTCCCTCCAAGTTTGTGCAGGTGAGTGTTTACAACAATGTGCAAATTCCTGCATTAGTCAGCTTGATGTTGAGAGGCCATCCCAGTGTTGGTGGTGATTTGGCTGCTTAAGCCATGCTGTTTTCTTGCTTGGGAAAAAGGCCAGGGTCAGCAATTGGAGGAAATCTATAAATCTACCTTAATGCACCTTAATAGTGCTGGGATTGGTTTCCTTGCTGAGTTCTTTGATTTTGGTCCTGTCCTAACTGCTTGTCAGGGCTTCTCTCTTCCATCACAACATTCATTCAACATGTTTGGGATGGAGATTGGATGTGCATAGGTGGGGATGGTGAGGTATGCACATGGATAATTAAATGCATGTGGAATAAGTTACTCAATTAAGCAAACTGGAGCATGTTGGTCCCCCTTCCCCTTTGTTTGGCTCCAGTGTCACATGATGGAACTTGGATCTACAAAGGAAAAGAATGCCAATGTGGGTGTAGAATGTAAAATTGTCACTTAATGTTTTCTGTTG